AAAATATACTCGGATGTCCGGTCTTTGCGTATTTGAGAATCTTGTCTTTTTTATTCGATTTATATAAATGTACTCTGGCGTGAGATATTTCACAAGTGCAACTGAATAACAGTTGTGAATTAATTAATCATGATTTTTTTCTGACTTTATACGGCATATGTATATGCTACTTAGAATTTTGTTCACAAATTGCTTTCTTTTGTACCTTGCTTATTTATAAAGGTAATTTCTCATTAAAGGTATTTTCAATGCTGCTGTCAGAAAATTTTTTTTACCTACCTACCGACCCAACATGAGAATTTAGGGTCGGGTTAGGGGAAACAAAGATATTTTTAATTCCGGCCTTGATATTCTTATGTTTAATCTGTACACCGATTTCATTTCAATATGTGCAAATTCTGCAAAGAAAGTGAACGGAAACTGCAAATAATTGGAATGTTTCTAAGTCCAAGGGGCAAAACTCTGTCCAAAATAGCTTGATCGTAGCCAAAAGAGAACTATTATACCTAGATATTCTTATGTTAAATCTGTAAACCAAATTCCATTTCAATATATGCAACCTCTGCGAAGAAAATGAAAGGAAACTGATAGTGGACCGATAGACCGACCGACGGACAGACCGACCGACAGACAACAGCAAAACAGTATGTCCCGCCCTCTTCGAAGAAAGGGGGGTGACATAAAAATAAATTATCTAAAAATAAGTTATGTGTAAACAGAAGCGGTTTGTAGTGAGCAGCTGGCAGTACGCAAAAACAATTAGCAGTAAGAAGTTGGCTGTCGTATATGAAACTCCTTTATAATAAGTAATTATTGAAAAAACTTTAGTATAAAAATATCGAGAAAATAAAAAAAAATGGAAAGTATCTTTTAGATAAAGCTGAACTATAATGGAATAACTCATTGTCATAAAAAATACAGAGCAATGTTTCATTGCCATTGAAACCCCGTTTAAATTATACGGCATTATCTTTGATGGTTTCCATCTTTAAAGCATAGAATTCTCTGTTGAAAATGTATTGTTTTGTAAGAAAAAAATTATTTCTCTTTATCTACAAATGACTGATAATACGAAAGCCCCTTGAGCTCATTTTGGTAGGTTAAAAAAATTAATTTTTCGCGTTATAACGCGTAACTTCCACGATATAACACGAAACTTTCGCGAATAAACGCGTAACTTTCGCGTTATAACGCGTAACTTTCGCGATATAAAGCGTAACTTTCGCGAAATGACGCGAAACTTTCGCGATATAACGCGAAAAGTTCGCGTTATGTTACTCAGGAACCTTGATCTTGACTGACAGATATGAACATGAAAACAAACGGGAACTCTCAGCAACTCTCAGTGGCCTAATTTCATTGAAAATGATGCAAATAATATATTTCTATAGTTTAAAGAAATTGTAAACCTTTATGATGTTCAAAAGTCTACCTCTCTGAAACCATCCTTATTAATCTATACAAATATTTTTCACTTCAAATCCTATTTTTGTAAAAATTTTACTAGAATTTTAAAAACTACGCGGTGAAACTTATTCATTTCATTTATTAAAACATAACCCAAGGAGTTGTTTTAAAATTATTTGACAAAAGTTTGTTTGCATCATCTGTCCTTACGGTATATACGGCAGAGTTTGTACACTTTGGATTAATTGTCAATATTTGTCCGATATCGTATTTCTACAGTGAATCCAACGGAGACAAATGAAAATCTACTATCCAATTTTCACAATTCTGAGATCTTGTTCTTTATAAAATAAAATTATTTCAAATCCTCTAGAGAGTGCGTAAAAAAGACGCCGGAAAGGGGTGATTTTCCCCGAAATTCATAATCTTAATTATAATAATAGGGATTGAAGTTTAAGTTTTGAAAAACTCGCATAATCTTTGAATTGTTTGAACAGTGCTGAGAAAGACCATCTATGACGGTAAAGATGGATTCAATAGGAAGAAAACTTAAAATTGTAGCTTGTGATAGTCCAAGTTTAAAATAGCCTTTTGCTTATCATTAATGAATAAACTTGATCACAAAATCAAAAGAAAGTTAAGACTTAAGCAAATGTCTTGGTTAAACAGCAAAAGTTACGCGTTTATTCGCGAAACTTTTGCGTTATTACGCGAAAGTTAGGCGTTATATCGCGAAAGTTTCGCGTTATTACGCGAAAGTTAGGCGTTATATCGCGAAAGTTTCGCGTTATAACGCGAAAGTTACGCGTTTATTCGCGAAAGTTTCGCGTTATAAGCGAAAAATTTATTTTTTTTAACCTACCAAAATGAGCTCAATGGGCTTTCGTATGATAAAATTGAAAATTCTAGTGAAAAAAAAAGAATTTAAAATGACTACCGTTTCCTGTGACCTGTCTACCATCAAAACGGCAGCTATACGTATAAATATGCGTATATGGAATGAAAAATTTTCATTGAATCAAAACTGGAGGCAAATACCCCCCCCCCCCTCCATCCCCCTCCTTCTTCCTATCATAACTTTTACACTTGAAAATGTATGTACTAATTAATGAAAAAGCCGGGCGGCCTAACCTCACTTTTTCTTGCAGAATAGTCAAATAAAGGTAATGTACATGTAGTAGTGTGTGTCTGTATGAATAAATAAATAAATTGGCACCGAAAGAAGTTAGACACCCCCTTCCTCAACGACAAATGATTTGGATGATAGAATTTGGGTTTTCACGTTAAGACAAATTTCCCCCCGTTGATTATTTTAATGCCCCTGTAATCGAAGATTCGGGGGTATATAGTTTTTTTGTCCTGTCCGTCTGTCTGTTTGTTCGCAAAAACTTTAACATTGCCTATTACTTTTGATTGGTTGCATCTATGGCTTGGATTTGTGGTTGGAACTCTTATTTCACATGTATATATTCACGGTCTGAGAACGAGTTTCTTCGGGTAACAACATTTTTAATCCTTGTATTTGAAAAACTTTGAACAAACTTAGCCAAAAGCTGTTAAGGAGGGGGGGCATTATAGTGTTTCACAAACACCCCCTTTTTTGGTTTCTCTAGTTCTTTCAGGTAAGTTGACTTTAACTTCTCTGGCTGTCCCCTTTCAAAAAAGATGCTACGTCCCTGATTAACTATCATTAATACTGAATCCATTTTTTTTTCGAAATGGCCAAATAATCATCCTCGTTTTTGAAATACAATACAGTGTCTTTGCATTAGGAATACATCAGCATGATCACTACCGTGATCTTTTAACTTATTTTCATAATAGACTACTGAAAGAGTTCACATTCAGAAAACTTCCAAATACATTTTCTATATAATTAGGTATAAAATATGTGAGATATTTTTAAATAACTTTTTTTTAATTATAAGCAGCGTTAGACTCAAGACTGGCCTTGCCGGGTGACTGGAAATTCCAGAAGCCCCCCGTTTTTTGGAGAATACCCATACAGAAGGGTAGAAGCCCCAATAAAGTGGTAGAAGCCCGATAAAATTGAATCATTTAGGGTACATAAAACCCTAAGGTGATGTTTAAATGAATGATATTGATATCCGTAAACTTTTATAGCCAATCTTACCTCAGAGTCGATAGAAATCGGGCGGCATTACTAGTTTACCGTACACCACGCCCGATCTAATTTCGAAGCGAGATGCTGTTTATCATCGTATAGATAAAGTTAAAAAAATTCAATTTAATTTTTAAATGTTTTTTATACATGATAAATATAAAATATTATATAATACATGATTTTTTAAAAATATAAGGACGTTAGCCATTAAGATAATATGAATTTGTGTATTGATTATTCATATTATCCCAATGTTACCAGCTCTAGCCACGTGGAGGCCTCCTCTTTGTAGAGCCATAATTTGATTTTGTTGTTGTTGAGATTTTAGAGAAATTCTGAATTTAGAGATAAAAACATATCCAAAAGCTTCCAAGCAACAATAATTATAAAAAATAGTAATGATAATTAATTCATTAATAATTAATTTTATGTTTCAAAGAGAACAAAAAAAAATGAAATAAATTTCAAAATATGAAAATACTGAATTTATTTGAGATTTTAGACAAATTATGAATTTATTTGAGATTTTAGACAAATTATGAATTTAGAGATATAAAATTAAGAGCTTCGAAGCAACAAAAATAATTAAAAATGAAAATAATAATTACTAAAATGTTAAAAGAGAACAAAAAATAAATCAATGCCAAAATATGAAAACACTGAAACCTGGAAAGAAATTTATTAATATCATTTTCAAATATAAAGTTTCAAATACACTGTATATAGATAGTTTATTTCAAAGTGACCTTTTTATGTTCTTTTCTAAGAAATAAATCAGATGTTTTAAATATAAATCATCAGTTGTTTACATTTTTAATTGACTTTAAATTAAAACAAATATGAATTAAAATTTTTAAAAAAGTAAAGTAAAAAAAATTAACACACTACAAAATAAAGTTTTTATTGAAATTTAACTATGAAAAAAATAGACTGGTTGAAACTGAAAATCTTTTATCATCTCCAAGCATAGGTATTTTATGTAATTTTTAATACATTTCAATGGCAGTTGAATCTGTCGACTAAAAATTTCCATTGCCTCTCTGTTCAAACTAATCCTATCTTCACGCCAAATGTTTTTATTCGAATTCATTAAACCCCTACATCTCCAAAATATCACATTCTGAGAATTTCCATATTTCCTTCGTAATGTGTTATTTATGTCAAAAACCGTAGAATTGTACTTTCCTGGATCCATGGTTCCACAAATCATTTGCCTAAACAGACTTCCAATAAATATTTTTTGAACCGAATCATTTCTTAACAGATTTTCAATAATGTTTTGGATTCCTAACACTATTTCTGACACAGAAGATGAATTTATATCTTTTTCTCCCACTTGTAGAAACACTTTTGTTGGACAGAATTCAACTGCTCTTCTGAAAGATTGACTATAAATTAAGCTTTTTGTTGTAATATCTATGTCACTAAAAAATTGAACGCAATAATTATTTGGCAACTTAAAATTCACAGAACCATTTGCTACACTATTTCCTATTTCTAACACATGATTTTGACCAATAACCGCAATTCGTTCTGAATAACTAATAGACTGAACCGGAGACTGAGGAGATGTAGGGGTTTCTACAGAGGAAGCTGTTGTAGGACCTATAGGGAGAGTAATTAAGGGAGCTGCTGAAGGACTCCGGATGAGTACAGGATGGCTTGTAGCTGGTGTAATTGACGGAGCTGAAGCAGGAGGAATTGATGAAGCTGCAGTAGGGATATGTGCTGGAATTGACGGAGCTGATGCAGTACCTTGGACGGTTACAGGGTGCATTGTAATAGGGGAAATAGTTGCGGGAGCTGCTGGAGGACTTGGTATGGGTACAGGGTGAGGAATTGATGAAGCTGTTGTTGGGATAGGTGCTGGAACTGTAGGGGAACTTACTGATGGAGCACTGGTTGCATTGGCCATTTTATGCCTAAACTGCATTAGGAGTTTACCTTGAATATTTTTGCCTTTGCCATTCCAACCAGTGCCCCAATATGAGTCCGCAACATTATGTATCAGTACCCTTTTGTTTGTGCTGAGAAGGTAATTTTTGAACTCAGCACATTGGTTGAATTTAATAGCCAAAACTTTTAGCATAATTTTGTTTTTGATTGAATGCCAATGGGAGGTGGTATTTACAAGTTTTGAAATTTGTTTACTTATTTTTGCTGTCGGAGCGTTTTGAATTTGGTTTGCTAGATAGGGGTCAGAGTGCTCGACAGCTTTTAAGTACTGATACAAATGTTCCGAACTCTGAAATGTAAGACCCTGGAACATTAGAACACATGGATAGAAGTTTGAGAGGATGTGGTGCTCTCCCTTGAAGTATATGGGAGAGTTGGGAGTTGGATTTGGAACAGGAGAGGAGCTTGCAGTTGGATGTTTAATAGATGCTGTGACAGGAGGAGGAGATGCTGAGTGAGGAGGAGGAGATGTGGAGCTAGGAGGAGGAGAGAGAGGAGATGCAGTGCGAGGAGGAGGAGAGGGAGGAGATGCAGTGCGAGGAGGAGTGGGAGGAGATGCTATCAAAGGACCTTTCAGGAAAATTTCTAAAATATTTCAAAAAAATTCAACCAAATCTTAAAGAAAAAGTCAACAACCCCATCAGGCATGACATTGTTGATAAACCGTGGACAAATAATAATTCTGAGTCATTAAATCATGTCTTAAAACAAGCAATTGATTGGAAATCAAAACCACTCCTTGATTTGGTTAATATACTGACAACACTTATAGAATCACAATTTAAAGACCTTAGAAAATCACTTGTTGGGGTAGGACAATTAAAACTAATAGACACACATGATCATTTCAGAGTTTCAAAATCAGTGTGGGTGACCAAAACGACAGACGAACGAGATAGGTTGTACAAAAGATTCAAACTTTTTATTCCGCCAGATAAAACGACACTCACATCAACTGACGGTACTACCACTATAGTTAGACCACGTACCTTAGGTAAAAAGATTGGACAACAAAAACGTAAAAAAGTGGACAGGACTACAACTTTCAAAAAATCTAAAATACAGTAGATCAGTAGATCAAAGGCCAATAATCAGTCAGTTTTAAACCAGGAACCCAAAAATGTTTTTAAAATTGTATAATTATTATTTTTTCTAGCATAGGGTTAGTATCAGGCAGTATTCCTCCCCCGCCAGACGGGTGCAGACCAGTGAATACTGTTTGGTGTTGTGTTAGGTTAGAACTTAGCATAGGGTTAGTATCAGGCAGTAGTGAATACTTCCTCCCCCGCCAGACGGGTGCTGACCAGTGAATACTGTTTGGTTTTGTGTTAGGTTAGGTTAGGTTAGGTTAGGAACATATTTTTTTTTTAATGTTGCTAATTGAACTATAAATTCCTTTTTATGAATTTTTTTATAATTATTAATTTATTGTCAATTACTTTCATTTGGCTGTAATATGTTTTTACATGAACAAAAGATTGACTAGGAATAATGATAAAGTCTGGGTTTTTTTTTTAAGATTTTTATTTTCTTTTTATCTTTCGGTCATCTTTCGGTCCTTTGGTTTTAATATTTTTCTGTTTCAAAATTCAAATCATGGCTCTACAATTAAGGAGGCCTCCACGTGGCTAGAGCTGGGAACATAAGGAAACTATGAATATTATTCAGGTATTACTAATTTAAAAGGTCTTTATTAATTTATCATTATTATTGGTATCAAAATTATCCAAAAATTCATATTTTCCTTATGTGTGTGCTAACGTCCTTAAAATGAAATTTGTATTTAAAACATATTGCAAGTTCATATCACCAGTATGTAAAAAGATGATCATATTACAAAATCATTTATTTTACTATTCAATAATGAAAGTCAAGAACAATTGAACATAGTTAATGATCAGTGTATATACACATGCCCTGCCTGAGGGGGGTTGGTCAGACTAGCTGAGAACAGGTGTTTGAACAAAAGGAGTTTATTGTCAACTTGACCAAGTGTCAACAGCTGTGTATGTACACACACACAGGGGTGCCTCTCTATCCCAGTACAAAACAACACAGCTAGCTGAAGTGTAAATAATATTCTCACCATATTCTCATAATACCCACTTTACAATTGTTTGCATATGCAATTATGCACATTTAATTAATTTTTATGAAACTTTTTTATTTCATTAACCTGGATTCTAATAATTTCATTCTAATGGATACATATTGCTTTCTAATATCAATGAATATAATTTTTTCTATTACATGCACACAAAAAATTAATTTAAAAAATACCTCCCCAAATAAAACAGAACCAAAAAAAAAAAAAAAAAAAAAAATACAGCAAATTTAAGTACCTGGAAAATAATTATAATGAATGCATGAATACTGAATTTCAAATTTAAATAATCATAGAAAGAAAAAAAAAATACCTTAGAAATTAAATAAATTAACAACTTGATTAATTACTTAATTTACTTAGTTATATATTATAAATGATTGGAATTTAAACTAAGGAACTTTATTAATTGATTAATTGACTAGTTAAATTAATTTAAAAAAAAAAAAAAACACACAAAACAACAATCAATTAGTATTTTCACTGTAATGTATGTCAACAGGTTACATCTCAATGTTTTTATAACTATTTTACAGTACACTTCAGCTATACAAATATTTTCATATTTTCAATAATGAGTTTTGATATAAAATTCTTTTTATTAGGTACAAACCAGTGTGGATAAAAGTATTCAAGTAGACAATGAAATATGTTCATAATTTATACTTTATTTCATTTAGGAAATATGTAAATATTTAATGCTTCCTTTATATTCTTAACTTTCCTTTCATATATTTTTTTTTTGAAAATAAAAATCATTTATTATATTATTCACTTTTGATCAAGATTACGCTAATGATTTACTTGATTTACTCGAAACGACTTCAGCGATCGCGATTTTAGATCGGGCGTGGTGTACAGTATATGAAGAAAAGAAGAAATGCCGCCCGATTTCTATCGACTCTGAGGTAAGATTGGCTATAAAAGTTTACGGATATCAATATCATTCATTTAAACATCACCTTAGGGTTTTATGTACCCTAAATGATTCAATTTTATCGGGCTTCTACCACTTTATTGGGGCTTCTACCCTTCTGTATGGGTATTCTCCAAAAAACGGGGGGCTTCTGGAATTTCCAGTTACCGGGCCTTGCCTATCTGGTAATCTAAATAAACATCGGGATCGGCATTTTAATTTTTCTGGTTCCCTTGAAAACAACGGAACCAGCTAAACCGGATGTAGAATTAATGATAACAGACATGGAAAAGAATTTTTGTTTTAAATTCATAGGTTTGTAGAATTGATTGCGGAGCAGATGGCCCATAACCCGCCATTAGATTCGGGTATTCTCCGAAGAAACCCCCAGGATGATTTTGAGCTTATTCAGCGGGTCGGGAGTGGCACCTATGGAGATGTTTACAAGGTGATGCCCCTCAACTGTCAGATTCTGACATCAGTATCATTTGTCTGGTTAGAGATAATTCACGTTATAATAACATAAAAGGATCGCCTTTCCATATTTCACGAAAATATCCGTAATCAGTATTTACTGGTTAGTTATATCTTGTCCCTCGCGAAATTTACCAGGGACCTATATTATACTGTTATAGTTTATAGGTCCCTGGTTATTACATATTTTTGGTATTAAAATACAAGATATTGGTATAAGAAAAGGATATACACCAGTATACTATAATCCTTTTGAAGATCAGCTAAAGGAGATTAAATGCATTGCTTAAATAATCTGGTTTCAGAAATGTATCTTCATAATTATGTTCTTAACTATAGTGTTTTTAAATTGCTTCTTTGGACAAAATGTCCCAACACAGCGATGGGGCAATTTAGCAGTGCCAGAAACCAGAATGGAGTAGATCTGCTGAATAATATTTATTTTAAGAACTAAATGTATTCCATCTTTAAAATCCATAAAAAAGTTTCAGTAATACTAAAGATTGCTATACTTCAGTGACACTTCATTTTCATGAGATAGCTTTTTAGTGTTTTTTTTTTATAAGTAAAAAAAAATTCATGGAATGTGGTTTTTGTTGTTTACAATCCAAAATAGTAAAAATAATGCTCATATTAATTTTATATACACCAGAATGAAATTTCAAGTAGCCGGTCGACAAGGACTGCCAGCCAGAATTACTAAATTAGTAACATGGAATATGAAATATTTAAAGTGCAATGATGATGATAATGCGAATATTAACTATGAAACACATTTCATAGATGATAAAATAAATATTCTTTCATTGTTAAATGTTAATTATTTATTTCATCAAAACCACTCTTCCACTTAAATATGATAATAAAGTTCTTGCAAAAAATGACACATAGTAGATTATTTTAAATTAATATTCTTTTCTTTTGTCTTCCAATGAGAAAATGAATTCAAATAAAATGTTAATGTAATTTTTCTGAAAGACACTGCTGCATTCAGCCAATGGACTATTGAATAAAATTTGCCAGGGGTCTCATAGCAATTTGTTGACTTGGGACCCCTGGCATACAGAGGATGTGGTATTATATGCTTCTTGTTAATTTGCTGTAGATACCAGTACATGGGGGAATCTATATTTAAATAGGGATTCAGGGATTGCATTAAGATGTTACTTAACTTTAAATTTCGTTGAAATAACATTCTTTTTATAGGAATTCTATAGTAACAGTTACTATAACTATAAAGATACTACAGTGTACTACTATAGTTATTATAGTACAGTGTACATACACTTTGCCGCAAGTTGAATTATAACTGGATTTAGAGCCGTGTTTTAGTTGCCTTAGCCCTGTGTTTTGCTTCCTATAACCCAAATAGACTTCTATCTTCTATGTTTGAGAAAAGAATAAGGTGCACAGTTTAATTTTAAAACATTTTTGATGAAATGAATTAATTAGAAAAATAATAATAAACCATAAAGTTGGGTACCTGTATTATTTTGACTGTCATATTATATTTCAATTATTGGGTCTTTGTGTTAAAGCTAAATTGGACCATAGATTAATTTTTAGAAATATATATTAATTTAGGGCAATTGACCATAATTTAAGACATAAATCAACAGAAAAATATGTTTATATACATATACGTTGTACTGGCTTGCACTCTAATGGCAAAGAACTATTATTGTACTCTTAAAATGTTTGCAGTTTAAATACCATGGAATAAATCGTTTTCATCAAATGTAAATATATAGCAAGAACATCTGCAAAAAAGAATTGCTTTAAAAAAATAGTCTGTGCATATTCAAACCATTACATGTATCATAATAAACAAAGAAATCTGAGAGCTAGTACATATAATATTCACACAGACTGAAAGTTATATGATGGGGAGATAATCATAGTAATCAATGAAATTATAACAGGATTGGACTGGCACGAAAAGGTTCAATCTGTAGTCCAAGTATGTGAATTCTTTAGTTTTTGTGGAAACTTAACTTGGTTGTCGTGTCATTTTCTGATTTTCTGATCACAAAATATGAAAAATGTTAACATTGAAAGCAAATTCTGGTATTAATTTTGGTACTGCATTTCATTTTATTTTAAAACAAGGAAACACTCAGTTGCATCATTTTGTAAATATGTGTTTCAGCAGAAATTTCCTGTCATTGACTTTTGTACATATTGAATTACTTTAAAAGTATTATGGAGTAGAATCTCAACTGAAAATGATATTCATTGAAAATATTTAAGTCTTAAGATTTTAGAAGAAGTGTTTTAGTTTTAGTAGCCATGTACTTAATATGGTGGTAAAGATCAGCACCATTTTACTATAGATTTATTATGATTATATAAAAGTAGATGTATTCCTTTGGCAAGCTCTTAGTCTTAAGGGATATAGATTTTTTCCCTACGTTACTAAATCTATTTTAAACTAGGTATTCTTTATGTTTTTTTTGGGGGGGGGGGAACACAAAGTAATGTTTATTGAAAAAAAATTTTAGAAACTGATATTAATTTTTTTTTTTTTATAGGCAAGAAATTTCAGTACTGGGGAGATGGCGGCCATCAAAGTTATTAAACTGGAGCCAGGTAAACAGAAGTATACAAGATAAAACAATATCTACAGCTTATAGGATTTCCTCTGTTATTGGAGTTATGAATTTTGAAAGATCCTTAGAAGTTAGTGGAATTTTTTGTGTGAAGTGTTTCTGTAATTACTCATAACTTTGTATTGTAGGAGATGACTTTGCAATCATACAGCAGGAAATCGTCATGATGAAGGACTGCAAACATCCGAATATTGTAGCTTATTTTGGAAGCTACTTGAGGTAGATTTATTTATAAAGTAGTGTATTTATCAGTTTTTCTGAATTGCACACTTAATGTACCTCGAAAACACTCATGAATTACAAATTTTTCTAACATAATTAAATTTGGATTTTGAACATAAAATAAGTCATGTAGTTATTAAACTAATAATGATATAGTGAATGATCATAATGATTTTTGTTTATTAATCTTTATCAAGTCTTAGAGTGAAATTTATTCAAGGTTTATTATTATGCAAAAGGTGTAATGATACATATTAGAATGGGGAGCTTGTCTGTGCTGATGAATCTGGAAGATAGCACAAGTACAGTGTTTTTCAGCTTCATAATAGTGGGTTGTTGTTTTTCTGTACAGAAGAGATAAATTATGGATTGCTATGGAGTACTGTGGAGGTGGCTCAATGCAGGACATTTACCACAGTAAGTTAGCACTTTTATTCATCACTCTAAGTTAGCACTTTCTCTATTTCCCACAGTAATTTGCAACTTTTCTCTTTTTGCCACAATGAGTTATTATGTTCCCCAAACGAAGTTGGGGAACATATTGTTTTTACTCTGTTTCTTATTAAGGTCTTCCGTCTCCAACGGAAGACCTTCTTGTTATTCTTCGGTTTCTTTTTCGCTATTATTATTATTATTATTATTATTATTATTATTATTCTTACGGATTTTGTGCACGCGATTTCTCGTAAACTACTGGACCGATTCTCATGAAACTTTAACATCTGATAGGTACTGATCTGAACCTTATTGGAAATTTTTTTCGTAGATGACGTCACTTCCGGTCGTGAGATATGGACAATTTTCTGATTTTAAAATGCAATTTTGTCTTGATTTAGTAGCGAAAACTGCTTAAGATATGAACTGAAGATTAATTGGAGATGATAGTTCATGATTTATAGCGTTGCAGAATCGCCTTTTCGTGCGTCGTCAGTACTTCCGGTCGAAACCGGAAGCGAATTTAAAAAACGTAATTTTTCAACTTTTCTTTTTTAATATTTTTGTTTTAGAATTGAATAGAGACCATTTTGCAGAAGCCAAATATGTAATTTGTTTGAAAATCGAAAAAGCCAATCTCGAGATATTTGCATTTGAAAACGCGAAGCGGCGATCCCGATGGCCGAATGGTTAGCGCGTTGGATTGTCACGCGGGCGACCCGGGTTCGATCCCCCGTGTGTCCAAAAATTTTTATCACTTTTTCTGCTCGATTTTTCGATTTTTATTAATTTTAGACCATTTGCAACAACATATTTTCAACTTTTAAGTATATCTTACGTAATAAGGGGTCACAAGGGGCCAGAATATCAGATCTTTGACGCTTCATATCTTGAAAAGAGGGAATATTTTGATAAGCAATATTGAACAAAAGATGGTCAGAATAATATTCTAAACAATATGCATACTTTGAATTTTTGTAAAATGGCCCCATTAAGGACTTGTAGGGATGGCCCCTTAATATTTCCATTCATTATATCTTGCAAACGAAAAGAAATCTCTGAATAGGTGTTGAACAAAAAGTCTTTGAAATCACAAGGCCTTTCATTTGATATCAAGAAAAAGGGGCTGACCCCTGAAATAAGGGGCTCAGAGGGGCTAAAAGTCTTTCATCTTTAACTCTTAAATGATCAATATTTTGTGATACATTATAGAAGCAAAGGTATTCATCTTAACAATTTGCAACAATATATGATACAATTAGGACCATATGTTACGTAATTAGGGGTCACAAGGGGCCAGAATTTCAAATCTTTGACACTTTTTATCTCAAAAATGGAGAATATTTTGATAAGCAATAATGAACAAAAGATGGTCAGAATAATATTCTTAACAATATGCATACTTTGAATTTTTGAAAAATAGCCCCATTAAGGACTTGTAGGTGTGGCCCCTAAATAGTTCCATTCAACATATCTCCACAACGAAAAGAAATCTCTGAATAAGTGTTGAACAAAAAATCTTCAAAATCACAAGACCTTTCATTTAGTTACAAGAAAAAGGGGCTGGTCCCTCAAATTAGGGGTTCAGAGGGGCCAAAAATCTTTCATTTTTAACTCTTTATTGATTAATATTTTGTAATACATTGCAGAAGCAAAAGTATTCATCTTAACGATTTGCAACAATATATGATACAACTTGGATCATGTGTTACGTAATTAGGGGTCACAAGGGGCCAGGATATCAGATCTTTGACGCTTTATATCTCAAAAAGGGGGAATATTTTGATAAGCAATATTGAACAAAAGTTGGTCAGAATAATGTTCTCAACAATATGCATACTTTGAATTTTTGTAAAATGACCCCATTAAGGACTTGTAGGTGTGGCCCCTAAATATTTATATGAATCATATCTCAAATTGAAAAGAAATCTCTGAATAGGTGTTGAACAAAAAGTCTTCGAAATCACAAGACCTTTCATTTGATATCAAGAAAAAGGGGCTGACCCCTCAAATTAGGGGCTCAGAGGGGCCAAAAGTCCTTCATCTTTAACTCCTAAATGATCAATATTTTGTGATACATTATTGAAGCAAAGGTATTCATCATAACAATATGCAACAATATATGATAGAATTTGGATCATATTTACGTAATTAGGGGTCACAAAGGGCCAGAATGCTAAAGATTTGAGGATTCATATCTTGAAAATGGGGAATATTTTGATAAGCAATATTGAACAAAAGATGGTCAGAATAATATTCTAAACAATATGCATTCTTTGAATTTTTGAAAAATGGCCCCATTAAGGACTTGTAGGGGTGGCCCCTAAATATCAATATGAAGCATATCTCCACAACGAAAAGAAATCTCTGAATAGGTGTTGAACAAAAAGTCTTTGAAATTACAAGACCTTTTATTTGATATCAAGAAAATGGGGCTGAAACCTTAAAATAGGGGCTTAAAGGGGCCAAAAGTCTTGCATCTGTACATCTTTAATGATCAATATTTTGTGATACATTACAGAAGCAAAGATATACATCTTAACGACTTGCAACAATATAATATAAAAGTTTGGCCATATCTTACGTAATAAGGGGTCGCAATGCGGCCTAAATGCTAATTTTTGGCATGCTTTACGTCTTGAAAGGAGGGGGATATTTTTATAAGCAATATTGAACAAAAGATGTTCAGAAAATCGTGATAAAAATGAGAAACTTAAAATTCATTGAAGGAAAACTTAATGTCATTCTCTTTTAACGATTATCTCAGTCAAAATCACATCTCATCTTATCGAGAAATTCAACGGAAGACCTACTCGTTGCTCGCAACGAGATCTCATCTAGTTATTATTAAGGTCTTCCGTCTTCACGGAAGACCTTATAGTGATTCTACTGTTTCTTATTATTCTTATTATTATTATTATTTTTTTTGACAATATTTTGTGCAGGCGATTTCTCGAAAACTATTGAGCGGTTTTTCATGAAACTTTCACAAAAAATGTGTCATTATATGAAGTTGTTACATCCGAAGAGAAATTTGGAAAATTCGCTTCTGGTGCCAAGTTATGGACAATTTCCTGATTTTAAAATGCGATTTTGTCGCGCACTTTTATCGAAAATGGCTAAGAATATGATATGGAGACTTATTGGAAATGATAGATCATGACTTTCTGGTTTGCAGAATTACCTTTTCGTGCGTCGTCAGTACTTCCGGTCGTTACGAGATGCAAATTTAAAAATTTCGAATTTTCTAACTTTTTTGTTTTTCAGTATTTTTCATTTATTTTTGGTATGTTAATAGAAACCCTCCTTATAATGCTTACTATTTAATTTGTTTGAATATTGATAAATCGAAACTCTAGATATTAGCATTCGAAAATCTGAAGCGGGTCCAAAATGGCGTCTGTCTCTGTCAACGCCGACATTTCGCAATAGTGGTTTACGGGGGCAGCCGAGCGTTTGCTTTAACGAAAGTAACATAAGAATAAATGAAATGTAAAGGAATACTTGGATTTTCACGTCGTAGTTTCGTTGCGGTTCTGTGTCAAACTAACGTCTTCTATAATTGGTTTTGGCTGGTTTTCAAAGTAGAAAAAGAAAAGACTAAATGTGCAAATGAAATTCGATACCTAATATCTTTTGTGCATCACGGAAAAACAGATCTTAAATCATACTTAAAAATAATACTTTCTCAAAAAAGAATATCAATTAATATTGTCAGTATAAATCGTAACCACTGTTTTTCTTATGCACACTTGTGTCATATTAAACTAATGAATAAGACAAAAATAAGAAAAAGATTTTTTAAAGATCGCTTCATGGAGTTTATTTTAGCTTTCTTGTCTCGAAGACCTGATTCAAGTTATTCAGCAAAAATGATATCTGATTCCTTGACCATCGAAGGGCGAGCCATGTTTTTCGGCGAAACGTTTCAACCTTTTTCGATTAACTAATCGGGATAGTTCACTTGGGGGATAAACAGGAAATTGAAAAAAAAAATCATAACCGTTTCACCGCTTTAGTGTTACATGCATATATACAATATGGAATTTTTAAAATGTGTTAAACATACTTTCTAAATCTCGAATCTTAGGCTATAAGAACGTTCTTTTTTAATTTCATTGAAGCTATCACACCTATTTAATAGAACATTCTAAAGAAAAAGCGCGAAGATTAACTCGTGGCATTTGGCGCTAAATTTTGAATAGTGACCTGCCTTTCATAATTTTAAGAGAGAAGCATATTCGTTAATATATACAAGCAGATTTAGAGTAGAGGTTCCGATAGCGTAATATTTAGTGCGTTGGAAATTCATGCTAGTGACTTGGGTTCAATCCCCCTTGTGTGCAAATCTTTTTTTTTTTTTTTACTTTTTCAGCTCGATTTTACGTCTTCTTTCCGGAATCGGACGGAAGACCTCTCGTTGCTCGCAACGAGTTTCTCATCTAGTTATTATTATTATTATTATTTTTCTTATTTCTTCTCCTGTACTTTTTTTGTCCGCGAGTGTTCTCAGAAACTGTTCACCCAACTGAGCTAAAACCTTTTTAGGGTTAATAGGTGTGTAGTGTAGGTGTGCGGAACGAAGGTCATTTTGCGCGCATACGCACGCACGTGCGTGCGCGTGAAATGAGTGAATTGACTGATATACTTAAAATAGCTATTACTTTTACATTTTTTGATGAAATGATTTGAAACTCATTATATAAAGATATATTAATACTATTGATAATGTGACACTGTCAAATTAGCACGAACTCACGCGCATGCACGTGCGCTTCGCTCTGATTGGCTGAAACAAAAACCTCAATATCTTTTCTGTTTTTTGAGGAAATGCTATGAAATTTAAAATATTGGTTTACTTTAGTATGTCCTACAATATGATATATAACAATTGTCATGTAAACACGCGCATGCACGTGCACTGCAATCTGATCGGCTTAAACTTAAAATGGCTATAACCCCCTTGTTTTTCAACCAAACAGTATGGGATTTAGAACGTAGACAGACATAAGAGACTCCTACAAGGAGGTATGGTAGTCATGTACATGCATGCACGTGCATGCTCGTGTGCTTTGCTGTGATTGGCTGAAACAAAAATCGCAATATCTTTTTTAATTTTTGAAGAAATGCTTTGAAATTTTAAACATAGTCATGCATTAGGATATCCTACAATATGATATATAACAGTTGTCGTGAAAACATGCGCATGCACGTGCGCTGCAATCTGATTGGCTTAAACTTAGTATGGCTATAATGCCCTTGTTTTCCAACAAATTAGGATGGGATTTAGACCATTGACAGACATATTGGACTCCTACAGGAAAGTTTGGTCATCATGCACATGCATGCACACGCATGCACGTGTATTTCGCTCTGATTGGATGAAACAAAAATCTCAATATCTTTTCTGTTTTTTTGACGAAATGCTATGAAATTTAAAACATAGGCATACTTTAGGATGTCCTACAATAGGTTATATAAGAATTGTCCTGAAAACACCCGCATGCACGTGCGGCTATATCTCCTTTGTTTTTTGACGAAATGCTTTGAAATTTAAAACATAGTCACACATTAGGATATCCTGCAATATGATATACAAAAAATTTCAAGAAATCACGCGCATGCACGTGTGCTGCAATCTGATTGGCTGACACTTTAAATGACTATATCGCCTTTGTTTTTTGACGAAATGCTTTGAAATTTAAAACATAATCATACATTAGGATGTCCTGCAATATGATATACAAAAAATTTCAAGAAATTACGCGCATGCACGTGTTCTGCGATCTGATTGGCTGATACTTTAAATAACTATATCTCCTTTGTTTTTTTACGAAATGCTTTGAAATTTAAAACATAGTCATTCGTTAGGATATCCTACAATGCGATAAAGAAAAAAAAATCATGAAATCACGCGCATTCACGTGTGCTGCAATCTGATTGGCTGAAACTAGAAATGGCTATAACTCCCTTGTTTTTCAACCAAACAGGATGGGATTCAGAACATAGATAAATATTAGGGACTTCTACAAGAAGGTAGGGTCATCATGCACGTGCACGCACGTGCGTGCATTTGGAACGAGTGAAATTAGAAATACACTTGAATGAGTGATTTTTAATACTTTTGGACTGAGTGTTTTCATATATAGTATATTACAGGGAATATGGCACTAAAAGGGAGTTGGGGAGCGTTTGGGGAACATCTGTAACGGTTCCCGTTACAATTAGCACTAGTTACTTTTGTTTTGATTTAGGACCTCTGTCTGTAAAAGTATGATAAAGTAGTTTGTATCTCCGATCATATATATCACACACACAGAGCTTAATTAATAATGAACGTTCTTCTCAATCTTGCTGGTTAAAAGATTCATATTGATAAATTATTTCAAAGAAAGGGGGGATGGATTACCAATTACAGATGTATTGGTAATTCTTGTCAGTATCCTCTCTCATAAATGGAATGAAAATAAAGTCAGACATAAGTTTTGGTGTTGTTAAAGCCTCAGTACAGAATATTTGAAACTTGCACTAATTCAGTAATTGTCAAAAAGTTTCACATATATCTATGCATCTGCCCTCATGTACATGGACCTTGGTTCACCCAGATTAATTCTTTTTTCAGTAACGGGGCCTTTGGCAGAGCCACAGATTGCTTTTATTTGTCGAGAAACATTAAAAGGTTTAATGTATCTACACAACAGAGGGAAAATGCATCGTGACATTAAGGTAAAATTACTACTTGTGTAATCAGGTCGAATTACAGGTAAGAAAATCTCAATAGGTATACATGACTTCCTGTTTGAATGTTTGGGGACCAAGAACTTGATAAACTTTATTATTCAGAAAAATTACATTTAAAGTCACGTACACCCCCTTTTTAAAGGAATAAATGAAGGAAATATTGATTGATTGTGTTTTGCTGACAAATAGCGGTAGTATGAACCAAGGTAGATACCCCTTTACCTTTTTATATTGTTATGTATCTTGCCCTGTGACCCATTTAAGTACAATACAAGCAATCATTTTAGAACACTGCTGATTTTTCTGATTCAGTAAATAACTGTTTGAAAATTGCTATTGCTTTGCAAGCCCATTGGAGAAAATTAAATGTGAGTTGCATGTGGGAGTTAATCACAAAATGTCAGACCAGGAGCAAAGCTAGCTAAACACACCATAATATATAGTCATAAGTTTTAAATTGAAAAAAAACTATGTTGATTTCTATTGAATAGAAATACCAGGTAGAGTGCTAGAAGTAATCATTGTTTCAGTATAATTGATTATAATTGAGGAATTAACTTAACTTTAGATTATTCCTTTTTAACAGAACTATTACTGTATTTTTTCACCCATCTATAAGAAATTTGTTTTGTTTTTTAGGGTGCTAATATTTTGTTAACAGATGAAGGGGACATAAAATTAGGTTTGTGTGCTGACATAATGACAAGATCACAAAGATACATGCATAAGAAGAGTCATTTAATTTTGAAATTTTTGTCAAAAAAAAAAAATTGACTCTCATTAGATTTATAATGCATTAATTAAAGGTTATTTTCTTTGTAGCTGACTTTGGTGTTTCTGCACAAATAACTCAAACTATGTGCAAGAGGAAATCATTTATTGGGACCCCATACTGGTAAGATTATTGTAGTCTGTCAAGAAGTCCAAATTTACTAATGCTTGTTGATTGATTAAAAATCCATTCATTATAGGGAAAAGGAAGGGAAATTCATCAGTTTTATTGTTACTGAGGGTAGGATAGAATTATTTTAACAGAAGGAATCCGTCAGCAATATGAAGATTTGTTCTGCATGATAACAAAAGAAAGGAAGATAAAACTGAAGCAAAGCCAAAGAGGTAGAGCCATGTTGGGCCTTATTTGGCCCTGCGAATTTCTGAAAATCCAAAACCGCTAAGTTTAGGTTGCAAATGCAGTATTTATCTCTTGGACTGTTTGTGACCACCTATCTTTTAATTGTGACGTCATTTCACATCTAGTCAATGCATTATGACGTCATAAAATGCGTCATTTTCCTCAT